AAATATGATTGACATGGGTTTCACTTCCTCCTTATTGTTCCATTGTGTAGAAAACCCAACAAGCCAAAGTTCCTCTTTGTTGTATTTTTCTCATATAAATATGATTAAAAGCAGAACTAAAAAAAAAATCTCATTTTTCTTTTGGGTCATGCACATGCTGATTTTAAGTAGTTATGTTATGCTTACCCTTTACTTTTGCACGATATTCTAATTATTCGAGTTTCACCTGTATACACATAGTATCTGGGCCACATGGCCGCACATCAAACCAAGTTAAAAAAAACCTGACGGTTAATGTAATGACACAGAACAATGAGAACATCTCAAACAATATCAGAGAATATAATGTATATATTGAATATAACAAGAACAATGCGTGTCAGGTTGGGCTCTCTCCATCCCATCCCCTATGCCATTTTGTGGTTATAAAACAGGGAGAAAACAGCGCCATTTGGCGGACCGCATGGTCCAGCCCACTGCTGTGGAGGGCCAGCACCAAGTCGGTCTACTCCAAATTATACACATTGATTGAACAAAACATAACAACATAACACAGAGTAGTAAAAGAGTGAGAGACATATAACACACAAGGAGGGGTAGGGGGAAATTCCAGGTGGTGGTCAACTCCAGGACATGCGGCACGGATTACTCCTAGCTGTGCCATGGAAAGGCAAAAGGGGGCCAACCGGGACCCGCTCTATCTCTATCCTCAGGTCCTGCACACAGTAGCAAAGTCAACTAAGTCCCTGTACAGGTACCACGTGCTCCAAGTAGCTACGAATCTGGTCTGGGTCCCGTTTAAGGAAGAGGTCAGATCTTCCATCAGTTTAATCTCATCCACTCGTCTGACCCACATTTCGACAGTTGGCTGTGTGGCTTGCTTCCACGAGGCCGGAATGCAGGCCCTTGCCGCATTCAGCAAGTGGATCAGCAAGGAACGTCGGTAGTGTTTATGTGAGGGTGGAGCCAAGTGGAGGAGATACACCGAGGGAGTAAACGGAAGTGTAAGGCCTGTGATTTTACCGATCAGTGTGGCGATCCTGGACCAGAAAGGTCTGACTTTTGAGCAGGACCAGAAAGCATGCAATAGGGAGCCCAGCTCCTCCCCACAACGCCAACAAAGATCAGACACCGAGGGGCACATAACATGGAGGGCCGTAGGCACTCTGTACCATCTGGTCAAAAGCTTATAACCTGCTTCCTGGTACTTGTTCGACACTGAGGATCTGAGGGCAAAACATATCATACGGTCCACCTGTTGAGGGCTCAGATCCACTCCTAGATCAGTGGCCCATTGTCTAACAAAGTACGGGTGGGGCAACTCTGGGGGATTGCGTAGGCAGTTCACCATGGGGGACAGGGTGTGTCTAGTCGGATCAGCCTTCAGACATATGCTCTCAAATTCCGTCAACTGTGTCTGAGGGCATGTCGTCCCCGAGAATGAACATAGATAGTGTCTGATTTGTAAGGTGCACCACAGCCGCAGGGGTGGGTCGGTGAGATTTTGGATCTGGGCAACTTGTTTCCATTGGTCTGTATCCCTGAAGTGGTATAATCTAGTCATCCCTGATGTCTCTAGGGCTCTGGCCAATGGGTTATGCAGACCCGGAGGGAAAAGCAGGCTCCCCACCACTGGCGTCATGGGCGATGGACCAGGAGAAAGGCCAGGGGAGGGGAGCACCTTGCATGCCACTAGCATCGTGGCGCGAACCAAAGGGTTCGTCCAAGAGGAGAGTGGCAATTTTGGAGAGATCCACGGGGTACCATGCAGCGGCCACTGGCAATCCTCCTGTTCCAAGGCAACCCACAGTTTCTGACCTGCGTTACAGCACCAGTCCACAATCACTGCTAGGTGGGTCGCTCTGTAGTAAAGAGCGGGATCTTTACCCTCGCTACACTAATAGCGTATCTTCTCAGAAGCTGCACCCAGCGCACACAAGCTTCTGACAGCGTGGGAGACGGGAGGCTGCAATTGGCGATCGATCAGGTGAGTATTTAAAAAAAAAAAAAATTGTTCTATTTTATGTTCCCGGGGACATAATTTGTATGGGGATGTCCCCAGAAATCGGGGATGAATGCAGGGCTGCAACAACTAATCCACTAAGTTGATTATAATCGATGATTGAAAACTTGGAGATTATTGCTGGGATTTGTAGTCCTCTATAACCGGTGCCATTCTGCATTGATTGCTGTATAATTTTACACTTTCCATTTCACTACCTGTATATTGCACACCACACTTTTCTTTTCTTTTCTTCCACCGCTCCAAGCTTGCTCCTGTGATGGACTACAATCTCAATACAAGCTAGTAGTCCATCACTGGAGCCATTTTTTAAAATCCTGATTAACCAGTTAATTGAACTTAATAATTGCTAACTAATCGATTTTGAAAATAATCGTTAGCTGCAGCTCTAGGTAAAGGGTCACCCTATACCAGGGATCCCCCACTAACCACCTTTCCTCAACCCATACTCTACCGCGTCTCTTCCAGGTGCACATGCCACGAAGAAAGGGGTTCATGAAAATAGCTGATTCGTATGACTCGGCCCCACTGGAAGTGACACAGTCGAGAAAATGTATAGGATCGAGAAAAATTATAGAACACTGACACTGTCCGGCCCCTCCCTCTAACCTCCCACTCTCCTCCCACAGCTCACAGCCCGAAGCATGGACAGCCAGAGGCTTTGTACAGTGGGTGAGAGTGCCTAAGTACCAGACATGGAGCGGAGTAAGGCCAGAACCATGTAGGGAGCACAGTGGGAGGAGAGCACCATCCCCCAGCCAATCACCCCTTTCATGAACTTACTAGGAGTCCTCACATCTCCCGACCATTCACACTACTGTTACATGGATGGCAAAAGTGGCAGAGAGGGGCGGGGAAGAGGCAGAGCGGGAGGGGGGCCAAGTTGCTGCACCATGGGCCTCTGGGATGTACTTGCCCCCCTGGGCTAAAAGTTGCCAGTCAGCCCCTGATGCTCGTGTTTAAAAAAATTTACATTAGCTCAAACTAATACTTGCAACTTTTAGATTTAGGTTTTTCAGAGACTGGCCTTAAAGAGGAACTTTCCCCACCAATTTAATAGCTCACAAAACTGTTACTTTTAAGGCATACCAACTGTCAAGGTTGCCAGTGGGCTTTTTTCAGCTCTCAACCAAACTTTCAAGCCCTCAAATAGCTGATTACATATGCTTTACCATGGCAACCGCAATCCAAATGGAGGCTAAGACAGCATCTTCCTTGGCTGTAAGGGAAAGGAGGTTGTATGTCTGCTCTAATAACATTTTCACTTTTTCTGAATTATTTTGTTTGTGTTGCCTTGGGGTATTAAGACTCCCTTCTAAAGTGGTCATTCAACAGGTATTTGCTATAGCCATAGACTTGGCATCCTCCCCTTTCCAGCTGAAAATAGCTGGATATCTCAAAGGAGGTCCATCACTAAATTTATGAAGAAAATATAAATATAATGCCAAATATATGTTTTTATATATATTATATAGAGGTTAAATCTGGCAATATAGGTTGTGGTACATCAGTGTCATATTTTACAGATGAAATAGCTGATAGAAAAAGTTGTGCTCAAAGAGTAATAAAAAATGGAAGAGAAAGATGGGGTTGAAGTCCAATAAACTTCAAACCAAAATATATGTATAAAAATATGTAAATGTATTTAACAAAAATTAAAAGCATTGGACAATGCATAGGAAATGTAAAAGAACACACAGCTCAGAGGGAACCTCCTAAAACCACCTTGGGTTCCACGGTCGAGGTTAAATAAGGTGATCACAGATCGATACATATGAACATATTGGAGGAAATACATTGATTAAGCAGATACATCTCATAGGAGTAAGTGATTCATTATGTGGTAACAATAAACCTCAAGTGGAACACAATATTTTTTGGGAGGTGATGGTACTTGCAATGCTAGGTAATGCAGTGCTTGTAGGCTCTACGCGTTTCGCGCCATGCGGCGCTTCATCAGAAGGAGGAGGTAGTCTAAAGGTCATACAAGAGCAGAGTATAAATACTTGAACAGCAATCCAATTGTACATAGGAAAATATTAATACCGAAATGTGCCAACTAGTCTTACCCCTTCAGTGTGAGATCAACAAATGCGTGGCACAGGCGTCAAGCGGAACAGGGGAGAAGGGCACGTATTCCCAGAGTGGAGGAGGATGGAGTGGGCACATCCGAGGCTGAACCTAGGTACTGGGGGCATGAAGAAATATATTGATATCCAGAGTAAAATGGACTGAGGTATGTCATGTCCAAATATATGCCCATCAGGGAAAAGAAATGGTCTGCTATCATAAAGAGACCTTTGTTGGTTGCACCGACTGGGGATGGATCTTTTGTAGTCATTCACATATACATATATTAGCCAGGGGGGGTATAACACACAACCAGGAAGTCTATAAATGTCCAGAAGAGGGGGTATTGAAAAGAATAACAAAATGTATAGGGATTGAATCGACCATTCAAAGTGAGAGGACTAGATGGGTCCTTTGCTTACCCCAGACTTGGATTGTGCTTCAATGGAGCCTGGTGAAATCGAGTCCCCAGGGCAGCTTGGTGGCAAACTCCTCCACCTGATGCCGCCAAAAGCACCAAAACATATATTTTGGTTTGAAGTTTATTGGTCTTGTCTCTCTGGTGCCAGAAAACCCCCCATCTTTCTCTTCCTTTTTTTATTACAATTCAATCAGGGGTTGGCTTCCAGGGAGTTAGGATCTGTGCACCACAACTATCTTTGTTTGTGCTCAAAGAGGACGACAGAAACAGATACTCAACAATGAGTGTTTTTTATTCAGGATGTAGGTGAATGTTATACTCCGTTTGTTCCTTTCTTTGTGAGCAATTCACAGAGGATGTTATCTCTACAGCTACCTGATTTGCCTACAGTATTAGCTGGTTAGCTGCATGCTGTAGGTCTACTGTTGTGTATGGTATTTTGGTGACAGGTGCAGTCAGTGCAATCTGTGATTCTGGGTCCACGATATGACCTTCCCACCAGAGGATATATACGAAATGTTTAACAATGAGGAATCTCTGGTCTATGATGCCGACCCCAATGTAAGTTATATTCAGTATATTTTTTTAATGTATTTTTACATGTATTTTTAATGTATTTTTAGGTGTTCTTCTAAAAGCAACTCTGGACATCAATTAAAATTAAGAATATAATGCTATATCAGCAATGCTAAAACAGATAAGTGATTAATTTTGCCTGTGACTGTAGTGAGAGTGCTCTTGACCCAGTAGCTTGGGAGGATGAGTGGAATAGAAAGATGAGTGTCACAAATGGGTCCTTGACTGGTCCCATGTTGGAGTCAAAGAATGCTACTTGGAGCTGTACAGATCTGTATTGGGGAAGGGATAGGGAACTGTTGGAAAGATGTACTTAAAGGTAGAGTGTAAAATGAAACAAGCCATTGGTGTGCAGAGCCAGGCAACTGGCACAAAAGGAAAGGGCAGTTGGTGAGTGACGGCTGCCAGGAAGTGACATAATTTTTGTGATGATGCAGCCACTGGACATTTTATGGACTGATAAAGTAGTTGGAAGGATCTAGAATACCCTTCCACACAATGGTATCTTCAAGAGATGGTGCCCCAAGATCATCTGACAAATAACAAGAAGGGAATTTCAAATTTCATAGAAGCCTGGTGTACTAACAGAAACCCCTAAAGAGGTAAGCTGTCCCCGTGTTTGCAATGCAAGGGCTCAATTTTATTTTTAGCTAGCCTGTACCTTTTAAAAGTAAAGTGATTTTAAAATGTAGTTTTTCAGTTCCGTGTGGATAAATATGGCATTTGAGGACTAGAAATATACATGCATCATGCAATATGTGTGGGTTATGAAGTAGGGTAAAGCATTGATTGAGAGGAATCTGGTTGTTATTATAGACAGACAGTCCAGAGGGTTCCCACTTATTGGACATCAGAGATCAACCAAGAAAACACATGATCTAATAAATAATCCTAAATCCAAATTAATCTTCAATACAAAAAAATTTCAATAAATTACCATATGTGCACATATAAACTCCCCCTCCCCAACAATGACAAAGACTACAAACCCCCTCCCTTTAAACTTTGTCATTGCAGACAATAAATAAGTTGCGGCTTGCATATTAGTACAGCCTCATCTTAAAGCATATTTAACCCCCCCCCCTCCCCCATCCAAATGTAATATATTGCAGCTTACCAGTCCTTAAATGTGGTGACTCCATTAATTTTTTTTTTTGTCCGACAAGTACAGAAAATGCCTGTTGACTTTGGCAGAAATACAGTGTCCATGTCACTTCCTGTGATATGAAAGGACAGCAAAACCTTATTTTTCTTTTGTAAACTACTAATCCAAGCCACCCACAGTGTTATGGAAATTAACAAAGGCAGACATGTTTGAAGTCCAGCCTTTGAGACAACCATGGCTGCCCCCATGGATACAGTGGAGAAATGAGTGTAGGCACAATGGGATTGGAAGTGTGTTATTTACAGAATCACAAGGTGAAAATAAAGGAAGAAAGCTTGAAAAAAGAAAACGAATGCAGGCACCTCACTGGTCTGGTACTGGTGAGCTGCAATATATTAAATTTTTGTAAGCGGACCCGTAATGTCACCTGACTGAAGAAAAGATGCCAGAAAAAACATTATATATTTTTTTTCTGGCATCCGTCAGATCCAGGTATACTAACCTGGATCTAACGGCTGCGGTTTTCTGGTGCTTTTTTCCACATCCAGAAGTCTATGGGACTGTATGCACAGTAGTAAACAAACACTGGAGGCTGTGGCTGTTGGATCCAGGTAATTATGCATCTGTGGAGGGGAAATGTGGGTAAATCTATGTCAGTGCAAGGGGGCAAACTGGATACGTGCCCTTTGTCTGAAAGTGCATTTAACCTTTAATGTGTGCGGGGGAAGGGGAGCTTTGTGTCCAACCTAAAGTTGAGCTTTAAAGCCATTAAAGGAGGCACTTTTTGCTACTAGAAGAGAATAAGTGTAATCTGCTTGTGAAAAGAGCAGTGACAGTGGAGAAACCACATCTCGCGACATTTTAGTCCGAGAAAATGAAACTGCTCCGGTGGCCGCAAAGCATCTTGGGGCGTGCGCTTGCGCAGTTCAGATTCTCGGCCGGGAGACGAGCAGAGACGCAAGGTAGGTCTATGGACGCGCGCACCCGCATGCAGACACCGCTGGATCGGAAGTGCCTGCGAGCAGATAGGAGTCAGTGCTGGATCGGAGAGCCGACGCACCGCTGGAGGGACAGATGAAAACATCGGAAAGAAGAGGAAGATCGGATTAAGAGACATCATTTAAGGTAACTGCTGACATTAACATTGGGGGGAGGGAAAAAAATGTATCCTTTAATGTTACTTTAATATAAAAAGACATGCTCACCTGATTCTCGATCCTACAGCGGTGAAAACTCACCTCTCTGCCCGTCCGCTCCAGCATTGACATGTTCCTAGGCTTCCTCACGTCCAATACAAATTAATGGACTTTTATTGAACATGAGGACGTCAGCAGGGCTTAGACTGCCAGAGCAGAGGGGGAGAAGAGGCTGCATGGACTGGTCTAACAGCCAATGAAGATCCAGGATCAGGTGAGTATTTCTTTTAGACCCTGTGTTGATGAAGTGAAATTTACATTTACATTTACAATTTACAATAGTGTAAGTAAATAGTGTAGTAAGTAAATACTCTATGGAACAAAGTACTGTAAGTAAAAGGAAACAGATATGGTTAATAAGAAAAGTTGTAGATATCATAAGATATACACATAACACATTTAAATTCCTAAATATTGGGGGAACAAAAATGTTTGGAGGACATGTTAGGACTGTATGAAATTGCAAAAAAAAAAAATCAAGTTATCAAAGATTGAAGCAGAAAGCCAAGTTGCAAATTATATTGTGTCTCCTAATATTTCAAAAGTATATCAACTGTAAGGAAAATTGTTCTAAGAACATAGACCCTCTAAGAAGATAGGACGCCCAGAAGATGAATTGTGAAATGTAGAGGACAATTAAAAGCTGTAATGTAATCACATTTTTCATGAAGTAATTGTCAGTGTCAGATTATATGGCAGGAAGATGTCATCAATGCTACACCTTCAATTTAGCTGCTTAACAAATGAAGATCTGCAGTGATACTTAAACAAAATTGAGTTCAATAACATCCCAGTCAACTTAACCCTATGCACATAGTGAACCCTATGCACACTGCATACACACCAGGTATTCTCTAGCCAGTCCCTACTCTACTTTTCAAAATTCCAAATACTGCCAGAGGCTGTTAACAAAACAAAAAAAAATTAGCACAGCTCTCTAATACATGCACATTTCCACATGTGTCTCTTTGAAAACACTGCAAGTACAGAAAAATACTTGTTGATCCTGCCAAAAAATCAAGTGTTTGAAACTTCTTGTAGGGAGTCTTAGGATCCATTCACACATGAGCGGCTTTTGCGTGGAAATGTGCTAAACATAAAAAACAATGCATTTAAATGTACATTGTTCACATTAGGGCGGCGTCCACGCGGTACGAAAACGCGCATGAATAAGCAATGCATTAGTAAGAGTAAGTACAATAAATCTTTTCAACCTATAAGAATTCTTTGCTAAACAAAGGTACAAAAATCCTGCAGATAATCAGAAAAGTGGTTTGGATGCGGTATTTGCATATCACACTCACTTTCCCTTATCCTTGTCATCAGTTCTTACTTACATAAGCTGCCCTTTAAAGTAACCTACATAAGTTTGAGCTGCTTTGCATTAAGTACAAGAGAAATGTTTATCGGTGCATGAAAAGCACTGAAAGAACTTTCATTTTCAGTAACAATGTAAATATGTGTGAGAAGGGTGCCAACCTGAGTGGGCGAATGGAAAAATATTGTACTCTGCAGTTGTAATGTGCAAATGAGCGGTTAAGATCTCTACATCAAACAAAGCAGATAAGGAGTGCTTACCAAAATTATGATTTGTAATGTCAGCACTAAATTAAGTGATTTAATACACTTTTTTTTTTTACAGGATCTTTAGTGTAAAAGTATTTTAAAGCAAAGTTTGTAGGATTTATGACCCTAAAAGATAAATATTAAAGGCTAGGTTTACCTTTCAGACCATGTTTCACCCATATGAAACGTGGTCACATCGCATTACTCCCCCCTCCCACAACACGCACACACTTACCTGAATTGCAGGGTTCTTCTTTCTGCAGGCTGGTGTTGATTTTTGAAAATGGCATGGCTGTGCGTGGCTCTGCCTAAACAGCTGTATCATCCATTCACAGATTTATGAATGGAGAAAGTCCCATCAGCCACCTTAGCAGAGGGACTTGTAGTTCTTAATGGAATACAAGTGTGGTGACATCACTACACTTGTAGTCCATTCATTCCTCCTCCTGTCCATGTTACTGAATGTCCATACCTTACCCTTGGACATAGATGGGAGGAAGAGTATGCAGGAGCCAGAGCCACAGAGACATGAGGGACTATTTCCGTGGTCTGTTTATGATTAATCTAGGAAGAAATATCAGTGTTTAGTTTGTAGGACAGCAACATATACACTTGATTGCTAAACTTTGTACATATTACATGCACTCAGTATGTATGATATCAGTATGTGCTGTAACACTCTATAGTACCCACTGGCAAAATGCACAAGCTAAACCTTGAAGACAATCTGTTACTGTGCCCATTCAGGTTCTCTTGATAGGGTGCCCCCCTCCACCCACTGATACTTGCTTTACCTGCGCTCCCCGTCACGCCAATTACCATGGGAGTCTAAACCCTGTATAAGGTCTTGTTGGTCAATGTCAGAGCTTGCACAGGGTTGGTCACCTTCTTCTTTCATGTTTGCACTGCATCCTGGGAAGAAGGGGAGAAGGCCCCATGCTCCCCCATACCCAGAAATACAGAGGGGGGAATTTATCAAAACTGGAGCAGACATAATCTGGAGCAGCTGTACATGACAAGGCGGCCGCTATGGGGCCCGGGGCCCGGCCAGATGCTGTGCGGGCCGACTGGGTCGCTATGGCATCTTATGCTGGTAGCTTTCACTGGCGGCTGTGAGAAGAATGCGCTGCTGTTCAGATCACTGACAGTGATCTGTGCAGCAGCGCGTTCTTCTCACAGCTGCTGCGGGGTTTGGCTGCGTGGGATCTCAAGTGGGCTCTGCAAGGGGCATAACTGGAAGTCCCAGGGCCCCATACAAACTTTTGCTATGGGGCCCTGTGATTTCTAGTTACGCCCCTGGGTAAAGGTATTAGTGGATGAGGGGCTGGGCCTATAAAGAGAACCTGGTACTTGAATAAACAAAGTGATACATCTTCTCTAATGTGTCTCTAAAGCCAAAATGTTTTTTTATTTGGTTATGGAGAGAATAAGAAATAGATAAAACCCTTTCAGTTTTTTTTTTTTTTTTTGTTAGCTTCTTTGTTTTTGTATTCTATTAGGGAGATTCTGGTTCTGGAGGCACAGAATGAAGGGAAAGGAAATCTCTCCAAAACCAGGCTAAATCCTCTCATAGGCAGTTGTCACCAGAACCAATGTCCTCATTGGAAAACTTCTCTTCACAGCCTCTTCTGGTGACAACTGTCCCATCACTTTCAGTTGCAGCTACAATTGTCATTTGGACAAATAGAAAGGCAGAATCTCACCAGCAGGAACACAGCAATAAAAACCTGAGAGACGGTCTACTCTAAACTCTCACTACCCTACGCTATCCAATACCAAAAGAAAATGTTTTGTCTAGAGATTCACATTAAACAGTATAATTTTTCTGTATTTAAAGGGTAACAATACTTTCAAACAAAGTTTCCTAACACTTTTGCCCCTAGATGTATCCCACCTTCCCCCACATTTCTATACATACCTAGTATTTTGCTGCCGTGGCACGCAGCATTGTTTACATTTCTCTGCCTGCTTCTTGACCCAATGTTCATGCATGGCCAGTAAGTTGATGCGATTTACGAACAAGCTGCAGTGGAGCAAGGTGTTGCAATAGAGAGCGGGTATGGGGATTTAATGGTGGCGGGAGGGGCACAGCTCCCCGCTGGGTTTCTTGCAACCAGTGATGCCATTGGTTGCCAGGAACTTGGCTGTACAAAAGCAAGAGCGCGTCAAGTTACTAAAAGCTGGGCAGAGAGATGTGTATAGCCCTTGCGTAGCTCCTCGCCAGACTCATAGCAACCTGGGATGCTCTGGCCAGAAAGGGGTGCAGCAGAGCAGCTATGCCGCTCTGCCTGCCCCCCCCCCCCCCATGAGATACCGCCTGAGGGAAGAGCATCAGGCTGCCTCATTATACAAACGGCCCCGGGGTCAGGGGGGTTCCCTCTGCAGGGTCATTGTCACTTTGCCCTGTATGGGCAAGGAAAGAGTGTTCCTTAAATGTTTGTTGATATGTTATGTAATTCGATGTTAATTTTTGGATTGCATGTAACAATTTTAAGAATAAATACAAATGTTTCTGCCAACTTATGTCTGTTACATATGTCAACCATATACTGTACTGTTGATGCAGTCATCAGTTTCATGCTTGTTTTTTTCTGCATTATAAACAGAATAACACCGGTGAGATCATTGACTACACATGTGATATCGTCATGGAAAACCAAAAAGAACTTGGGCAATTTAAGCGCATTTTTATTCCACTGCTTTATAGCCTCGTCTTCGTTATTGGCGTTATGGGAAATGGCCTTGTCCTCTATATTCTTATGAGGCACCGTCGTTTACGCTCCAGCACAGATAATTTCCTTGTGCATCTGGCTATTGCAGATTTACTGATGCTTTTTACATTCCCCTTCACTGTGGCCGAGCCTTTAGGTGGATGGGTATTCGGAAATTACCTCTGTAAGATTGTGAGAGTTATCAGCCGTGTAAATTTCTACTGCAGCAGCCTCCTCCTGGGATGCATCAGCATTGACCGCTACCTGTCTATAATCCATGCTATCAATGCCTTTAGAAAGCAACGTGCAATGACTGTACATATCCCTTGCTTTGGTGTGTGGTTCTTCTGCTTTCTTCTATCATCACCAAACCTATTCATATTGGGAACCATACCAGAAGGATGTGCCAGATCCAGATGTGGATACTACAACAGCAATTTTCGTGACAATAAGTTTTGGCAGGCTGAGAGGTTTATCAACCATTTGGTAGGATTTTTATTTCCAATGTTGCTCATGACCTTTTGCTATTTTCACATTATAGTCACCTTATGCAAATCACCAAGACGAGAAAAAAAGAGGGCAGTCAGAGTGGCCATAGTGATTACCAGTGTCTTCTTCTTGTGCTGGACACCATACAATGTAGTCATATTCGTGAATACTTTGAAACAACTAGGGCAAATCGAAGGTTTCAGACAAATTCGCCTAGCAGTTTTAATTACAGAGTTGCTAGGGTATGTTCACTGTTGCCTGAACCCCTTGCTCTATGCCTTTGTTGGGGTAAAGTTTCGAAAAGATGCCATGAATGTTTTAAAACATACCGCATGCTTCAAGTCAAAGATGATTAGCAAGCTAAACATGCTTCAAAGGAAAGGAAGTGCTATAGAATCGGAAAGTGGTACAATGATGTCCAGTTTCTAAAATGTGAAAACTCCAGTAAAATGTGCAAATGTTTTAATAATGGAAAATAGTATGGTCATCTGAAGTCCACCATTCAAATTAAGACAGAAGCAGAGAACGTATCCAGTTGATTGATAACTTAAAGTGACACTAAACTCAGGAGTTAAATCTTTCAAATGCATTCAAGTACACTAACTACAAGTAATAACAAACATGTAGCTTTTTTGTGTATCGATCAGCTGTAGATCCTCAAATCATCTCTGAATTCATGCTGACACTGTCCTTCCTTCTGGAGGGTGGCTACTTATGTTCACCATGGTCCCTGTGTGTGTCATAAAGTAGACACCGCTCCAAGCTCGCTCTCGGGATGGAATACAATCTCATGTTTAATTTAGTAATTTCTATTGAGATTGTAGTCCATCAGAGGAGTGAGCTTGGAGCGGTGGCTACTTTACAACACACACGGGAACATGGAGAACAAAAGTAGCCACTCTCCAGAAGGAAGGACAGTGTCAGCACCAATTCAGAGATGATTTGAGGATATACAGCCGAGTGATACACAAATAAGATACATTTTTGTTAATAGTTAAGGTACTTGAGTGTATTTTTTAAGATTTTACTCAGTTTAGTATTACTTTAAAAATTAATATTTCAGAGCAAACCTTTATACAAATCTTTTTGATCTATCTTAAGGGACAGCTATCAACAAAAATAAAGTCTTTGGCGAAAGAGTTATATGACTTCTGACATAACACAATGCAATTATATAGTATTTTTAAAATGCCCAAAATGTTGTTTTTTGTTGTTGTTTTTAAAAAATAACAGTTGTATATGTAGTTCACAGAATCAGACTGTATATTCTACAAGAGGTCAATGTGTTCACTTGGACTACTCGGTAGGTTGCTCTGTTCAGGATGCATGATATGGGTTTCTTGGTATACACTGAGGACAGGGATGCATGTATCCTTTTGCTAGTACAAGGACAGACAATTTGGGCACTGGTACTGGGGAGCAAGGGTGTTATCTTGCCTAGGATTCTTTTTATTTTATCTATTTCTAGCTTTAATGTAGCGCACTTTTCGAAAATATACTGTGTGCACTGAAGCAAGGAAAGATTATTATGTTACAGGAGGAAGGGTGGCTTTGACTTTGATGCACCCTTGGGACAAACTCCTTTTCCTGTTATTCAATCTAAATCCCAATCAACATCATTGCTTTCAAAGATTGCTGCCTGTGTGTTTCTCCCTGGCTCTCTGCACTGGCACCACCTGAACCAAAATTCTGTTGACCCCCTCACGGATGCCTCACTAAAAATGTACTTTCCTGATTTGACAAATACAAACATTTTACTCTGTAGTTACAGAAATGATCAGCAAGGGCAGATCAAATAGAAACTTTAATGCAAAATGATTTTTTTCACACAATTGCTTCAAGATGATCATTTCAAGAAATGTTATTAGTAAGAGTTATTGTCAAGCATGCAAGGCGAGTACTGTCTGATATCTGCTATGGTTCAAAGCACAAAGGTATGACACAGATAAGACAACTGGAACATGTGTTAATGTTGTTCTTCTGCCTACAATAATTATGGCAAAGAATATTCATTTAATGTTCTCAAAAACATTATTCAGGCAGCAATTTTATTTTATTGCATTTTAATTGTTTTAAAACTGCCCAGTATACCTAGTAAACAGCAGAAAATACCACCAGGTAATGCAAAGAGAACACACTGACCTCTTACACACTAAATACATTCTGGGAATTTAGTAATAAATGTTCCTTTCCATCTAATGTGTCTTCCTGTTCGTTAGTAAGGCTTCTCATCGAAGCCATGGGCCAATAGTAAGGTGTAAGGAGTCAATAGTGGTTTGGAGCAGAGAGGATGGATGATATGTGTATACCAGGGTGCCCCGGTTTATGGGGCTTCCAAAGATTGAAAAGTGGGGTACTGCTATTGTAAGCTGTGCAATATTGCTACAGATTTACTTTAATGGAGCCATATACTAAATGTTACTAAAAAAACTCCAACTTGCTTATTCAGTAAAGGGTGCAAGGAGCAAAGTGCTGAATGTTAAGTAAAGTAAGCCTCTGCAACCAATCATAAATCACTTTCCTTAAAGAAGAACTCCTGGCGGAAACAAAATAAACGACTCGTTTTCATCTGGCGTGCAAAAAAAGAGAAGCTGCAGGGACTGTGTTAGCAGCCAGCCGGGTCTGCGATATGGTTGAGTACATCTTTGTTATTTTACACCCTAAAGGTAAATGAGCAGTTAACCCTTGCAGCGTGAGGCTATCCCATAGCAAGGGTTAATTTTGTTTCTACACAGAGTTCTTCTTTAACAAAACAGTAAAAAAAATGAATGTTTCTTTTTGTTCCTTTCCTTTTGAAAGAGATTTATTATAAACACTTAACATACATATGTACTGAAACTTAGCTCCAGACAGATAGGAAAACAGCAAGGTGCATTCCTCCCATTCATACACACACACACACACACACACACACCCACCATCCCACTGCATATTATTAATATATTAATATTTTGCGTTTGGTTCGGTTCAACCAACCCACACCAAGCACCCTGTGCTGTCCCAATGCTTAATACAATAAAGCAAAGCTAACCAAGACCCCATGGAACTTCAAGGCAGATATTTTATTAGAACTGCAGGCTTCCTTTCTAGCAGTGTTTCTGTTCAATCAATAATCAATGTATCATTATGTCCTGACTGACCAAAAGACATTCCAATTCTATTAATACATTTACACAGGCAGAATATTATTTTTTAATACAGTATGTTTTTGTTATTGTAATATAATATTATTCAGCTATATGATGAACTAGGTACCTTGACAGATGACTACAGACATCATCAAATGGTGCCTGTTTGGTGGTAATCATCCGTTTGTCAAAGCACAAAAAAAAAAAAAATTAAATGATATCTGTAATACATGCACATTTCCTCATGTTTTTGTTTTTTAAAATATGCTACAGAAATATAACTGTTGATGTGCCTGAAATATAGTGTGCTCATATCTTCCCATTTGAGCTGACAAAACAGTTGTCTCTTGAGCCCAGAAATGCTAAGGACATGGTGTCAGCCCTGCCTAAGTCATTCCTGATGGATTACAAAGGACACAGCCCTCTCCGTATTCCCCTCCCCCTCCCTTCCTCGTCTATAAGACATTATTAGCTGATAAGATTTCTGGCAGAATTAACAGGAGTGTTTTTGCAGTTATCAAACAGACAGAATGCAACATTTTTAAAGGTATATTTAGCAGACCAACCAGACACTTTCAGCGACGTCCCTTCTCGCCCTCTAACAACTTGTTAAAATTACAGGTATTAATACACCTGCTTAAAGGGACATAAAAAATTGTAAATACAAAATTGTAAATAACAAAAATGCAATAAAAGCATTTTAACCTTTTTAAAAGTATTTTTTTTTCTATTTTTATGAGCAACACTTTTTTCCTCTGTAGATCTAATTTCTGGTAGAGCAGCATGAGCTGGATAGAGAAAGGAGGAAAATTACTCATTAGTATTTTTTTTAATACTTAGTTTACAGTATTTCTTGATGTCATTTATTTTAAAACATCAGCCCTAAAGTTAGTTTGTTTTTTTTCGGGGTGAAAAACAGGAAGATCAGTAAAGTTGCCATACACTTCAGCTTGTCTGAACAAGCAAAAAACGCTTGATTCCCCCCCCATTGAGCTATTGTATATTGACAATGGTGACTGTACCACTGTCAGAATATGCTGATTGGCTACAATAACCCCTCAAATGGAGAGGTACCAACAGGACCACACACCGCTCTAATTTTGGTCAGCTCATCTTCAAAATCTTTTTGATCCTGAACCTGAACCTCTACTCTGGTGGCTTATACTCAAGCTCACCAGCTACCTTCGGTGTGATAGGGACACCCCTTCCTAGTGGACGTTTTACAGAAATTATATATTGATAGAACAGATTGATATATTTTTGTTTGAAATGTATATTGTGCATAATGTGTATGACCTGTCCACTTGTAGGACAAACTGTAAAGGGAGACTGCTGGATGTTTCCCAGCAGAGCCGAGGCTCCTGTCCAGTAATGGAGGCTGCGATTACTCCTGGAAATGGTGATAGTTACAGAGGAAGAACATCCCAGCTGCTGGTGTGTGTGCTGGTGTGCCCAGGAACGACCACCACTCTCTGGGCTTGGGGAATGGCAGCTTTCAATATTAGATGGGAGATACAAGTCTATCTGACAGGTTCCCTTTAATTTCAGTTACTATTTGCTTTATTTTTTTATACATGTCTTCAATTAATTAATGTAATGTGCCTTGTGATGCTTAGTTTTTGATCTACAAATATTTTAAAAGTAATCAATTATTTTCAGTATTGTAGACTGGATCTTATACTTTGCAGTTTATTGTATTAGAAATTGCATTTTTGTGGAATATATACAAGCAATACATATGTTAAAATTAAAATGTGTGTGCATATTTTTTTTAACTGTTCTTGCCAGTTGCTGTTATTTTCTCCGACAATTGATCAACAGTGGAGGTTGTTAACAAAGCACTACTCCTCCCATCATCATATAGCCAGATCATTCAAACTTAATTCACTGCAGTGATGCCCTATTATTTAATGACAACTTCTGTCCACGGTGCTGCCCCTTAGTAATATACCGACAGCTCTCCTACCACCTGACCTTGATTTAGACTTTTACTATACTTTATGTTAAAATCAATGACAGTAGGGAAGTCTATGGGTGGGAGGCCCCATCAAAATTTTGCTAAGGGACCCCATGATTAGCAGTTACGTCCCTGTGGGCTGAATGAAAAAAAATACTTGATTCCCTAAATCCACAAAAAAACAGCATGGATGGGGGAATTTTTCCTGCTGGACCATTTACAGTGCGTGCAGATGAATGGCTGCAGTTATTTTTGGGACGACAATTTTAGCCGAGCTCCTTGGACAAAAGTTGATATAAAAATCTATTTTTGTTGAATGGAGTGGTATCGGAGAGGCACACACA